GGCTAGAATTTGGGCCACCCTGTACACGCTAGAGATTAAAATAATATCACTTTTGAAATATACAAGGTGTCCCACGACGTATTTCACAGGTAATAACTTCGGAACGCGTCATCCAATATAATTGAAATTTTGAGGATCTGGGTAACTTTTTGTGCCGCTTCTACTATTGTCATCCAATGTCATCACTTTCGCTCCAATTTCGGTCAAGTGACGTCAACTTTCGATTCGTAAATGTAACTCATGGTATATTATGGCATATTTTGTTAAGACGGTTTTACACTGACAATTTATTGGTCAATTTATTGATCAAGTCGCTTGTCAAGAAATATTGATAATGTAAAACGCCAAATTGGCGGCAATTTAACTTGTCCAAGTTCTCGCTCAATTGATTGACGGATTAGCGCATGTTCTATTTTTCCGTCAATTTTTGTGTCAATTCAGGATTTCAACCTAGAAATGACTCTTTAAAAATATTAAAGCTAGGTGAGGATATTTATTTTTATTTATCATTTACTTGTTGATGTTCAGTTTATTCTTCTACCTTCAGTTCCTTCTAGTTTTATTATTAAACATCTTCAAATATATTTCTGGGTGAGCCATAAATAAAAATACATAACCTTGAAATTCTGGTTAAGTTGGTAGAATTGTTTATTGTCGTTTGTGTTGTCAACAAGCTGATCCGCTGTAAAGCGAAGTTGAGCCATTGTTGAGCCAACATAAATTGGCAAATAAATTGACGAACAAATTGATCAATTTAAATTGTCAGTGTAAAACTAGCATTAGAAAATTAAATTACATAATCGACAATGTCATATTTGACATTTGTTAAGGCTTTTGTAAAAGAAAATGATAAAAAATTATAGAACAGGGTGTCCCACTAAGGTCGACGAGGTACGATATTATGGAAACCATAGACCTTACGTAACTTGAAAACGAATGCGCAGATATCGAATTACGGTTTGCGCCTAAATGTAGATATTTTTTTGCTCTTTAAGCACAGCAATAAAAAAATATCATGGCATTTGGATTTTTCAAGAAAATTAGAAATAGTGTCGGCATGCACTGCCATATTGAATCACGTAATTTGGATTGCCTAATAAAATAACATAAACATAATCTATCACAATATTCACAAATTTGTACCCACCCTTTTCAGAATCGAAAACTAAATGAAGGTTTCTATCATGTATCATAGATGGCGTCATATACGGAATGGTATTACAGTGCAAATGGTATTACAACAGAGAGCTCCCGCCGTCATTTTGTGTCCTACCTCTTGCTACTTTTAAATATGAATATACAGCGCGGCCGTGAAGTAAGGAATAAATTCAATAAATATTCTTCTAAGCAATTTTTTTGAAGATTCTCGAACACGTCGATGTTATTTTTTGTCGAGCATTTTTTAGAATAAACTTATTATACAGGGTGGTCGTTTAAAGTTCGAAAACGTTTCAGCGGTTAAAACGGTTCACGCGGGAAGCATAAACTTGGTAATAGTATATTATGCAATTACCATGTTTATGCTTTCCGTTAAACCGTTTTAACAGAAAACGCTTGTATAAACACCCCATTAACCGTTTTATCTCGTTTTACCGTTTTGATTTAAAACGTGTTTCAACCAATTTGAAAACGGTTTAAATACTGCGTAAACATCTCAAACCGTTTTGAGGAAGTGCCAGCACTGCTTGTTATGACATTAAAAAACTGTTTCGGGGAAAGCCCCATAGAAGTATAAACACAGGATGAAACGTTTCAAGTTCAAAACGTTTTAGCGGTTGAAACGGTTGAACGGAAGCATAAACTTGGTAAATGATCCTGTTATGATAGCCATTAATACACGAGCATGTGTATTAATGGCCATTACATGAGAGTTGTATGTATACACTATTTTTTCTACTTCCATTATAAACGAAATACATATTTATTTTAAGAATAGAAAACTTCTCAACTGGTGACAATTGTCGACAACTATTGACAATTTCGAAAAAATAGACGTTATTTGGGCATAAACTTCGTACCCAATTTATTAATTTTTGTTTTTTTCTTTTGGTAAATACTAATAGAAATAATCCAAAAGAAGTCTCTTATTTTCATAAAAACATTGTTCATGTTCAAAATAACTCGATTCCAGTGGCTAAAAAATCTGTATCATAATGAAAATCTGTGTCATAATGAAGTTCATTATGAAACAAATTTTAATCGTTTAATAGCGTATCATGAAACGAGAGTAGAAAAAAATTATTGAATGTAAAGAACGTTTAGGCTTGTAACTACCTTTAAGATAATAATGATTTAGAGTAGAGATAATGGGTTCAGGACTTTGGAAATAAAACTCCCTTTTTTCAAAAAATTATGCCGACGTTTCGATATATACAGAGGAAAAATTAAAAAAGAATCTAGACTAATGTGTGTCCCTTTGTGTTTTGGAATGTTTCCTACAGTGGTATTTGACGTCAAACGCCCTTGCTGGTAAAAAATAGGTATGTAATTCCTTTCAGATTGATTAATTAATAAATACTGATTACTGCCCAGTTTGTGTTTTTTTTGTATGTGTTTTTTTACAATTTTTTTTTTATTACGTTTTTTACTAATTTTGTACTATTTTATTCGCATTTCTTACGCCATGTATATCCGGAAAAAATGTGTTATTCGGTTTAGAATTTTTCTCGTTCGTGTCTTGCCAAACATTTTAAGATCATTTTTTGTTTGTAGCCTGTGAAGAAGACCAAATATATGGTCGAAACGTTGGCATAATTTTTTGAAAAAAGGGAGTTTTATTTCCAAAGTCCTGAACCCATTATCTCTACTCTATCTCAAACACTAAGGACGTTATCTATAAAGATAATAATGATTTTAAAACACCATATAATAATTTAAAAAGAAAATATGGCGCATTATTGATAGAGGCCAGATCAGAGGCCGAAACAGAGTCAGAGGGGAAATGGAAGGCACATGGAAGGAAACTGTTTTTATCTGACAATAATTCAAATAGCATGTGGGATGGTATCGTACTTTTCCAGATAAACTCAAGGTAGCGCTGATAATACCCTTGTTGGACCTTAGATTGTTGAAAAAAGACAAGCCCTAATTGTATAAACATTACAAACCTATACCTTTGCTACCATCATTTTGAAAATTGTTTGAGTTGGTCATGTGTAAACAATTGGTGGACTTTCTAAAGGAATGTGATATCCTGAATACAAAGCAGCATGAATATATGCCAGGCAAATCGACACAAAGTGCAATCTTCCTGTTCACGATAAAAATCTGAGCTCAATGGAGGAAGGTAATCGTGCCATTGGCATTTGTTTGGATTTGTCTTAAGCATATGATTGTGTTAATCCGGACTAACTTTTGGCAAGGCTACAAAGGTACGCTGTCAGGAGAAATCCACCGAATCTCTTCAAATCATATGTCACAGGTAGAATTCAGAGAGTGAAGGTTATAAAAAACGAACAACATATTTTTCAAATCCGAACGAAAATAAAATTGGAATTGCTCAAGGTAGTATAGCTGGACCCATTTTGTTTGTAGTATTTTTAAATGACCTGTTTTCCATAACATATCACCCATACTATGCAGATGATACCAATCTAATTACTGGCCCCAAAAATATGCTAGAACTCACATCAGAAGGATGATTTTTGTTTGGTAAGGCTAAGAGCTGGTTTCCTGAAAATAAATTGTTGTTGAATAAAAATAAAATGAACATCTAGTTTCTCAGAACAAAGCAATGCAATATTGATAAGCCACTAAAAGTGAATATTGGAGAAACTGACAAGTTGGTCACAGACACACAACACGAGTTTTTGGACTGGACCATATATATACGGCATTCAATGCAAAAGCGTTAATTTTAAAATTGCTAAATTATCAAGATGAGGAAATTTTACAACTCAGTTTACTTCAAAACCGCAAAAAAGGAAAGACGTTTCACCGACGTTTAAAAGAAGGAAATTGGAAGGATTTTGTACATTTGTGGATAACTAATAACTAGATATTAGATGAACAAGTTGTTCGTCTTCAGTACTAGAAAAAATATCCAGTTTTTTCTTTTGAATCGTAAAACACTACAGCATGTGTTTGATTATCTGAAATTCGCCGCGAAATTGCCGCCTGTTTGCTTCTCGAGCAGTCAGTCGTTGTCGAAAGGCGAATGCAGTTAGTAGCAGCCACTAAAAAGTCGTAGGAAAACAGTCACAATCTAAAAGCGTTGCTGATGTCTTTGCGAATCGGTCGCCGCTACTGGATCGTAAACTCCGACGACCGGCGACCGTGGAGGAAAACGCAGCTTTAAGCTATGCCCTACAAGAATCTCTACCTCTCATTCCAAACATTAAACGCATAGGTAGTTCTCTTCTGCAACACAAACATCAAATTTAACAAATAGTCACTGCAGCTACCCTAAAAAGAACCCCATATCTTAGGTGAGACTGAGAGGGCAAAATAGACCATCTCACTAGCAGATGTCTAGTTCCTTTGCTATCTTAAAGCATAACAGCCAGTGGAAAATTTTGCAGTGAGTTTTTCAAAGTTAGGGCCTTATTAACATGAATACCCAGAAATCTAACATTTTCCAGATTGGTAATGGTAATAGTTATTGAACCCAACTGCATGCCATTTATATGTCAATAGATTTGTTTTCCAATATCAAAGGTGAACAAACTATGTACTATCAAACCAGTTTCTAATCTTCATTGAATCCGTACTCACCTAGCTGATTCAAAGATATCAAATCAGTCCAGTGCCAAAGAATGACAGTTTCGTCCACAAAGTGTGTAAATTTCTCACTAATACTAATACCAATACAATACAATACACAGGGTAGGCAAATCATTAAGAGGAACAAAATAATGAGCATTTCAAATCTATATACAGGGTAGGCAAATCATAAGGAGGAACAAAATAATGAGCATTTCAAATCTTGTTGCCAAGTATTTCAGCAACAATTATTTTTTCTTTGTCACACACACATTAAGTTTTTGAGTTATCATAGTTACCTGCCCAATGACGACTAATGAAACACACATCCTTTCGAAAGTGAAATGTTTCCTGGAATTCTTCCATGATACTGTTATAATCGTACAGATGCAATATGAGATACGGATAAACCATGTAAGTTATTGGTTGGCAACAATTTTCAAAATTTTCATCCTATATTTGAAAAAAAAAAAAAATATTACTCGACATATTTTTACATAGCGGGTTATTCGAAAAAAAATTCAACACTTATATGGCAAGACGATTATTCAGAAAAAGATTTCTTTTTTTTTTAGATTTAATTCAGCTTTAACTGTGAAAGATATATAGCCGGGAATGTGTATAGGTTTAAATCTTTATCATAGTGGAAAACACCTTAATTTATACATCTTCCTATATAACAAAAAAGTTTTCAATGAATAACAAGTGAATTAAGTACATTTGGCAGTGATGGAATTTTTGTATGGTGTACTGGTAAATCTATATGATGTGTTGGATGGCTGTTACAATATGCATATACAGATAATAATTATTAAAAGATGTGAGTGCCATCACTGCCATCTAGTATCAGTACAGATAATAAATACTTCTCAGGATATAAAAATACACTACAATTAGTTGGCACACAGTGCCAAAGTAGAATAAAATACATAAAAATAGGTTTTTTTTTTTTTTTGATACTGCAGCCTCTGGTTGACAGATTGTTTAAATCTACCCACATTTTCAATTGCTTTTATGTTTTTAGGCAACATTCTATAAGCCTTAATGCCCATAAAGTAAGAGCGCCTCTCAAAAAATGTCGAGCTATGAAGGGGAATACTCAAGCAAGTCACCCCTATTTATATTCGCCACGGATGAAAAGTACAGTGATGGAACAGTTAAAACTCCCAACTCATCAAGAAATCGTCCACAAAAGGCTCTACTGGACTGTAGTCCTAGGATTCATCTCAGGATCCATTTCTGAAGCCTGAAAATGAGCGGTGCTCCTTTTGATGTTCTCCAAAAGCATATTCCGTAACTAATAATTGATTGGATTTGACCAAAGTGAAATAGACGGACCGACTCAGGTGAGACGACCACCCTCAATGGTCTCAGAGACCACACAACCTACTCAACCTTAACTGAAGCGAATCAATATGGACTCCCTATTCAGATTAGGGTCAATATGAAGCGCCAGAAATTTTATGTGATCAGTGAGGGGATAGTCCTCTCATTCATTCGAACAAGATGAGACTCTAAGTTATTTTGAGTCTTGGAAAAAATGGGTCACTGTCACTTCGTCGTAAATCAATTCGGCGTATATGTCAATTCGTCGTATACGTCAATTCGTCGTAAAGTCAATACGTCGTGACGTTATTTCGTCGTATACGTCAAGTCGCCGTACACGTCAATTCGTCGTATACGTCAATTCGTCGTAACATTATTTCGTCGTATACGTCAAGTCACAAATTCGATAACTGCCTTTGTTTCCAAATAGAATTTTCTAGAACTTACTCGGAAATTGACTATCACAGTCAAAATCGGGTACAGAGTAACTTCCGGGGTAATTTACAGGATCGGGTAAGTCTCTTTTGGTGATTGTCACTGCTTACTCTGACTTACTGTCTCAGTGTTCACACTTAACAACACTAGTGTCCGCTCACTATTCTGCAATCGGATTTCACTGCAGTCCTCAATTTATGTCTCACTTCTGACACCAATGTCACGGCTCTGGCTTGCGTGACAGAAATCTTGGGTTCGTTTATTCCAAAATCAAAGTCCAATTAAGACAGCAATAATTTATTACACGTAACTATACACTCTTGACACTAATTACTTTATTTATTTATTTATTTATTTATTTATACGGGTTGTCCCCATTTTAACAAAAATTTACAGTAAGTAAAAATATTCTAACCAAAAACAAAAATAATATCTCTATTACGCTATATTATAAAAATGAATAAAGAGAAAAAGAAACAGAAATATATAGACTACTACTTAAGGAATTTTACCTTATATTTCTAATATATTCACTAACATAAAGTTTAAACTTTGAAAACCCAATATCAATCAGTTCATAGTGGTGTTGGGTAAAATCATTTCCCAACAACTGAATTCTGTTAACAGGAGAATATTTCCCATAATTTGTGTGATGGTTTTCAATTGTAAATAATGGCATATTTCTAAGAATTCTATTACTACATTTAAAATTTATAAGGCCTAGTAAATCAGAGCAGTCAATATGGTAATTAAATAATTTATATAAAAATGTTAGGTCACATCCAGTTCTATAATCCTCAAGGGAATCAAGATTAAGCAATGATCTTATCTCTACCATTGATGAATTTTGCAAATTTAATTTCCACGCACAACTTTTGAGAAATTTGTTTTGCACCTTTTCCAGGGTGTAGATATGATTAAAATAATAAGGAGACCATACTATTGAAGAGTAGGATAAGATACTACGAACCAGTGTCAAGTACAGTACTCTAAATGTCGATACTGAAAAATCTCGAGAGTATCTTGTAATGAAACCAAGAATACGAAAGGATTTGTTTTACATGTTATTAATGTGGGGGATAAAAGACAGGGAGCAATCAAAAACTACACCCAGGTCTTTAATCTCATTAACTCTTTGAAGACAATCTAAGTTAATATGGTAGTCAAATTTAATTGGATCCTTTGACTTTATTAACTAACTCAACAATTAAACTCTTTACAACTCGCAACAATAATCACTATCTAAATCGCATAGCAGCCAAACTTAAACTTAATTTCTAAATACCAGCTTGCTTTATGTAGCCGTAAATCCATTCATGTACAATCTAGAATACACGCGATAACTCTCCTTTTCCCGATTAAGTAAAATTAACTAGATTATAGGAATTTGTAATTTCTAGGGTATTCGACAGCCCAGGATTCTTGACGCACTGGCGGCCGTTACAATATTTTATGTTTGCCGACGACACTGTATTGGTGATTTCTGCTGATTGGGGAAATGCAAGCAAATACATTCTAACAAAACTACAACGATTCCAAAATAAGGCTATAAAATCACTTTTTTCTATGAAATACACCCAGTGAGTGAAATCATATACAAAGAATATCTGTTTTTAACAATAGAGAAACTAAAAATTTTTGAACAAGTCAAGCTTATTTATTGTGTCCAAAACAAACTTATTAAAAGAAATTATCAGTTGAAGCATGGTAAAGACTGTCATGAACATAATACTCGAACGAAGGCTTTTCTTAGATAAATCTATGCCAGAACAAAAAAGGGCCAAGATTCTCCACTTTATCGAAGCATATATAAGCAACAAATGTGATACCAAAGACTATTACAGATTTAAAACTTCCAAAAATGTGTCATAACCTTAAGAATTATCTAAGACAGACTTAAACAGATATACCTATCTATTTTATAGGAATTTAACTTATGTCAAAATGATTTAGTTCAATAATGTTATTTGTTTCCTTTTTTAATATGTAGAATTTATTGTTTGTTATTTTGTCTGTAAAAGTTACTATACTAGGCCATGGTGCCAGTATTCTTTGTATACCATACCTACTGATTTGAGGTCAGAAATAAATGATTATTTGAAAAAAAGTGGTCATTTCACCCGAGCTGGTTCGGTTAAACTACTTCGTCAAATCCAATCAATCGTTAGTTATAGAATATGCTTTTGAGGCGCATCAAAAGGGGGCACCGCTCGACTTCAGAAGCGGATTCTGATATGTATCCTGGGCCTACATCCTAGAGCCTCTTGTAAACCATTTTTTCGTGATACTGTACTGTTATCTTAAGATAACATGAGCGAAATTGAAATCGAAAAGGTATATTTACTGACCACTGGCCGTTATTTATCCGCGGTCTGGTTAAATTTAAATAACAGGCCGGCGGCCGTTGAAATAACGGCCGCTGGCCGGGAAAGTGTTTTTTTACTGACCACTGGCCGTTATTTATCCGCGGTCTGGTTAAATTTAAATAACAGGCCGGCGGCCGTTGAAATAACGGCCGCTGGCCGGCAAAGTGTTTTTTTGTCAGATTGAAAGATATCTGCAGTATGACGAAAAATCTAGAACGAAGCACGGCCGATAACTGCAAATAACAGCCTTGGCTGATTATGATCCTCGGCTAGATCACAAACTTCAGCCCGGCCTTATAACATTAATAACCATTTACTAAGTAGGGGTGCTGATTGTTCTATCACTGTGCTTTGCATCCTTGGTGATGTTTGTGAAGTGGAATATTCACATGTTTCCTACCAATCAGGCATATTATGGAGTTGATATGGTTATGACGACCAGAAACAGGGGTGACATGAGTATTCCTCACCATTGCTCAACATTTTTTGAGAGAGGCCCTTACTTCATGGACATTAAGGCTCATAGAATGTTGCCAGACAACATAAAAGCAATTGAAAATGTGGATAGATTTAAGCAATCAGTTTATAGTTGAAATCACGATAGAAAGTGGAGTTGATAGTTATAGTAACTTTTTCTTTAGGTTGCCAGCATGCACTAGCACTTCGATTCCGTCAGGTGGGATAAACGACAGGGTCATATTTAGAAAAGTTTTATATCAGGTTTGAAGCGCAACACCGAAACACAAAGGCACAGAACATTACATAAAAAACGAAAAAACCTATTGTGAATACATATAACAAAATATCAAAAAATAATGCAGAAAACGGCAAAAAACTGAAACGATTTCACACAAAAATTCGAAATTGAAAATTGAAAAATCCGAATCTGATATTTTTATATGTCAAATCGAAATTTCATGTGTCATTTTTTGATAGTTGACAGAAACAGGGACAGATCTGGGGATTTTAATTACTTTCAACTGGTGAAAATAACGATCAAAATTCAAACTCTATCGTGAATTCAACTATACCAGTGGTTGCACCTCAAATGTTTTTACCGTTTCAAATTTACATTTTAGTACTGTTTTTTGTAATGTGTAGCAAAAATCCTATATTTATTATTATGTATTTTATTTTATTTTAGCACTGAGTGCCAACAAATTGTGTATTTTTAGTAATAGTACGGGATACGAGGCCTATTTCATCAAATCATTTTACACCGTCTTGCATTGTTATCATCAGTTAGATAACATGATGCTGAAACGCACCTGTACGGGGAAATAGATGGGAGTGGGAGATTTCGCTGAAAAAAAATTTCCAGAAAATGTCGTCATAAACAGGGAAAATATATAATTATACACCGTCTTGCATTTATTTATTGAGTTAATTTGTACACAAACAAAATTGGATCAACACATGCAAGACGTTTTCATGGAGGTTTTGGGGTTGTTATATTGGATAGAAATTGTCAATTTTTCAGAGGGGTGAAATATCATTTCACACCACTTCATTATTGATTTAGATTAAAGCTTGAATGTAGAATTGCCACTGGATACTGATGCAAGACGTCCTGTGGAGGGATAACGGACTGCAAGACGGAGGTCAATGTGTTGTCTTATGAAGGAGTGAGAAATCATTTTACACCGTCTTGCACTGATACTAATGGGAAAAACAGAACACATTGATAACATTTTAAAAAATACAAGACGTTCTAAATGGAAAGAAAGGACTGCAAGACGGTGATGAAGTTGACTAATTTTGACGGGGGTAAATCCATCAGGTACAAATGTGAATACTACTCTAAATTACAAATTACGCACAATAATTTTAGATATTTTTGCTTTTACCACGTAGAATAATTCTATTTTGCAAAATTCTCTTAATATGTATATTTGAATGACTCTACGGACATCAAAAAAAAAAGGTTGAAAATTGTTCTTTTTCTGACAGCTTATAATCATTTTATTTTTTTTTTGAGGTGGATATGTCATAACACCTAACGGATTGTAAGTAGGTATTAGGTAAATTTGAGAAATTTGATTTTAAAGCAGCAAAAAAATGATCTGCCTGGAATTGTAAACAGAAATTATAATTCCTGTATTCAGCAGACTCCCCTGTTGAGCTGCTATGTCAACTGTCCTTTTCCATCTGTATGATTTAGAAAAGAATGAACAGTGAACGGTTCAGTAAATAACTCAAAAGTTCAGTAAAAAAAGAAAACGGATTTATTAACTTTTTTCCCCGAAAAAACGTCTTGGACTGATGTATTACCATTTTTTAACATATATTCTTCCGGCGGACATAAGCATGAACTGGTGTAAAATAAATTTTCACTCCCTCATGAGACAACGCATTGACATCCGTCTTGCAGTCCGTTATCCCTCCACAGGACGTCTTGTATCAGTATCCAGTAGCTATTCTACATTCAAGCTTTAATCTAAATCAACAATGGAGTGGTGTAAAATGATTTTCCACCCCTCTCACAAATTGACAATTTCCATCTTCTATTGCAACCCTAAAACCCCCATAAAAACGTCTTGCATGTGGTAATTCAATTTTGTTTGTGTACAATCTGACTCAATAAATAAATGCAAGACGGTGTATAATTATATATTTTCCTAATTTATGACGACATTTTCTGAAACATTTTTTTCAGCGAAATCCCCCACTCCCATCTATTTCCGTGCACAAGTGCGTTTCAGTACCATTTTATCTAACTGATGATAACAATGCAAGACGGTGTAAAATGATTTGATGAAATAGGCCTCGTATCCCGTACTATAATACCCTAATAGACTGTGAGATAGGGGCTGTTTAGTGGAGTCATTTTTTTTTTGTCTGGCATTTTGAGGGCTGAATGTGGCTACTAAGCTGATGAGAATATGGGTGATTTTAATGCCTGCCTCCTGTTCGAAAATTTGCAGCAGAAAAAAAATTGATTTATCTACAAGCGTTGGGTTATGACGTTTTTACATAACTATTTTTCTAGTATTTGAGTTTTGTCATGAGACTCATAACACAACTAGCGGTGTTATAGACTAGGTTATGAATTCATAACACAACTACACCTTTTCTATGTGTTATTGCGAATATATCACTTAATTTCAAGAAAAGTAAAATGATATTGTGAATAAATGAAATCTAATTGAGAATATTCAATTGATATTGCGATTATAAAAGATGTACTTAATTGAGAATAGTCGAATCTAATTGCGAATCTATCAAATGTAATAGAGAATAGTTAAGTATAATTGCGAATATATCATATGTAATTGGGAATAATCAAATGAAATTAGGAATAAATCGAATGTAATTGAGCCTTTTCATTTTTTTATCAACATCTGTATGTAGTTGTCCTACTGTGCTACTGATTTGTGTTTATCTGTGAGACGTTTTTCGAAAACCAATAAAACCGCTTTTTCAGACTCTGCGCAGTTTGTTTATTTGAAAAATCAACATTTTTAATTAACTTTGATCGTCAGATATTATCAATAGGCTAAGTAACAAAAATATTTGATAATGTCTTAATTTTATTATATTCGATTAATTCGCAACTACATTTTATATATTCCTAATTTCATTTGATTATCCCCAATTGCATATGATATATTCGCAATTACACTTAACTTTTCTCAATTACATTTGATATAATCGGAATTACATTTCACTTTTCCCAATTACATTTGATATAGTCGCAATATCACTTCACTTTTCGCAAAATCAATTGATAAATTCGCAATATAAATTGCTAAATTCGCAATTATACATGAAAAAGGTGTAGTGGTGTTATGGACGAGGTTATGAATTTAAAACACAACTATTTTTGGTGATTTGACAAATGTCAAAGGTAAACCTGTAAAGGTAAAATGAAGGTAGACAACTACTAATAAACGAAAATAATGGAAAAAACATTCTTATTTTTCGCTTTGTAGATAAAACGTTGTACATCACACGTGCGTTTAAACATGGGTACAAAACTCGTGTGATTAGAACGCTAATCTTTCACACTCGTTATTGTAATCATGTTCATAAACGCACTTAAAATGTAAATAACTATTACATAAAGATTTTTTTTTTAAGATCTCACATTTTTTGGCTTCTAAATAAAATATTGACATTGATTAATAATTCACCCATAAAAAATACCAGACGCTTTTCAATAGCTGAAAAAGTGGGGATGAGTGTCAACTTCCAAGAGAAAAGAAAAGAACCTTCCGCGTTTACTTTTTGTCTGGTAATCGAGAGAATGAAAGGTTTTGTTGTGAAAATAACGCTGAAAAATCACCAGACGGTAATCACACTTCGAAGTCGAGTTTTCCGGCGAAACATTCTGTGGACATTTCGAACAGGGGGCAGGCATTAAAACCACTTATATTCTCATCAGCTAATTAGTCACATTCATCCCTCAAAATGCCAGACAAAAAAAAATGACTCCACTAAACAGGCCCTATCTCAGGGTCTATAAAACATATTGATTGTCTGTATTGATAATAGCTGCTTGGATCAGCCTTGTGACGTTGCTTGTATTGTTTTTATGCAATGTTTGTTGAAAATAAAGAATATTATCATTATTATTATTATTATTATTATTATTATTATTATTATTTTGAATAACGTATTTAGTCAGAGAGTGGAAAAGCAGATCGAAATGATCAGCAAAGAGCTGAGCCAAGACATTAGGAGAAAATATTTCCTAATCAATGGATCAGCAGGGGTGGGCTTTTTTGTATGGCCTGCCCGATGGTCTGACTTGACTCCGGGTCAACGTTTGATCATTTTGAGAACTGCAATCATTAATATTTCATATTAAATAAATGTGTGATCTAAGTGTTAACATTTTTTTAAATAACCCTGTATACATGCTATACATAGGAATTAATCGTCAGTTAATTTCTTGCTTAGGTAGCATACACTTTGTCTTTTATGAGCCAACCAATATAAAAAAAAAATGATGTTTACTGCCAATTCAATTCAAACTTACTCTTGTGAGTTGACATAAAATGTCTCGGTACATTTGAGTGCAAGGCGATACTGAAGCAACAACGTTCAAACCTAGTTTACTTAGATCTTGTATAAAAGCTACCCATAAGAGTGCTAATTGGCTAGCGTGCTCGAAACGATTGTTCATGTGTACTACTCCCAAAGTATTGTAAAAATCTGATGCCATAATTCTAAAATGAAAAAATAAACCATTTAGATCAAAATATCCTTGATAAATCACCCTGTAATAATAGATACATAATAGGAAGTGGATAAAGGTCCGCGAGTCAAGGAACATTAGTTATTTTCAAAGGTCTGCTAGTTGACAGCTTTCCACAATTCGAGAAAATTTAACTGAATTTTCGCAACGAACTAGTTTCATGATTTCATGAACTCAAAGGCTTTCGCGAGAAACTCATGACGTCATATTAAACGTAGTTCGCCGGAAGCATGGACGCAACTTCAAGCCAGCGTTCAAACTCATGATGTCACAAATGAACTATTGATGAACTACATTCGTCGCGCAAATTTGGTTTTTCTTGCTTGAATATTTTCCTTCAGGTATGTATGTATGTATGTATGTATGTGTTGGAGGTGTCAGTTGCACTGCGACCAAGGTTGATCTATTGTACCCCTCCTTCTGCTGCTAACTTCAAGTTTCCTGCTTAAAGCAGCCCCTCTAGTTCTAGGTCCTTTAGGAATTTTAGGATGTCTAGCGGTTCTAGGGCTGGAATGTCTTCCAGCTGTATAAGGGGACTTCCCAAGTTCTTCATTCTTGAGCGGCTTACGGCATCGCAGTTCAGTAGAAGATGGTGAGGTGTTTCTTCATCGTCTTCACAGAATCTGCAAGTGTTACCTTCTTCCAACCCCAGATTATGTAGGTACTTATTCAGTCTGCAATGTCCCGAGAGAAACCCGGTTAGAGTATTGAGACTTTTCTTGCTAAGGTTGACCAGCAGTTCCGATCTTTTTTGGTTGTAGCTACCCAATAGATGTTTGGCCTGTCGTAGTCCTGCTTGGTCTAGCCATTTATTTATTTATTTATTTATTCATTACAAACTCTACAGATTTACATCCAGTTACAGAGTAGGGTAGAAGACTAACCTAAGTGAAAGCAAAAATATAAAGTAAAGAGTTATCGAGAGAGTAACTTAACATTAAAATCTACATTTGTACAAATATATCATTAAGTATTAATTTCAGCCTACTTACAGAACTTAAATTCCACATATCAAATTGTAGGCGCATTTGGTTGTATAATTTACACATTATAATAACACATAAGTCGTTGTAGTAATTAGTTCGAGTATTATCAGTATATAGGCTCAAAGGATTTCGTGTTCTATATGTCGGAGCATAAAATTTAATTTGGTTCAACAAATAAGGAGCATTTATCATGTTATTTAATATTTTATAAAGAAATATAATTGTAGAAACTTTCCTCCTGCCTTCAAGCGTTTGTATATTATAAGCTTTCATGATTTCTAATTTTGGTATATGCATTTCATATCGCCCTGTTTCCTTGTAGTGTAAATATCTCAAAAATTTATTTTGAATTTTTTCAATACTATATTTATGATTCTCATAACACGGGCTTGTTTGTTCCTTAGCCGGTTCTCTTCTTCCTTCAGGTAATATTCAGGTAAAAATACAGAAGCGTCTGGCAATTTTGGAGCATTAGGCCTATGTTAATTTTTCAAAAACATAATTCCGATTTTTTTTTAAATGTTTTCAATTCAAATTTTTTTATTACAAATAACTTCTTTCTTTAAGGCCTGACATAGGCGCCGGAACTTGAAAATTACTATGGGGGCTCGGGCTCCAAAAAAACACAAGTAAAATAATACAGACAGGACCAGTAGGCTACTACACCTTTTCCATATGTATTTCAGAGATCGTCAGTTTAATTTCAGAATGCGTCAATTGAAATTCAGATTAGTAAATTGTATTTCGGAAAGCGTCAATTGTATTTCAGAATAAATAATTTTATCTGGGAAAGAATCAATTATATTTCAGATTAGTTTATTTTATTTCAGAAAGTGTCAATTGTATTTCAGATTAGTTAATTTTATATCAGAAAGCATCAATTGTATTTCAGATTAGTTGATTGTAGTTCAGAAAACGTGAATTGTATTTCAGAAATTGTCAGATGTAGTTCGGAAATTAGTAGGTATCTACGCAGATTTCCCCAAATCAACACAAGATAGGTGTATAGGTGACTCATTATAAATTTTATTTAATACACTACATTGATAATATCTGAAATACATTTGACGAATTCAGAAATACAATTTACAATTTCTGATCTACAAATAAATAATCTGAAACACAAATGACGATTTCCGAAATACAAGTGACCAAACTGAAATACAAATGACTTTTTCTGAAATACACCTGACGAATCTGAAACACAAATGATGTTTTCTGAACTACAACTGACAAAGTTGAAATACAAATAACACTTTCTGAAATTGAACTTACACAACTGAAATACAATTGACGCATTCTGAACTAGAATTGATGAATCTGAAATACAAGTGATACATTCTGAAATACTTATGGAAAAGGTGTAAACATATAGGCTTAAATGGGACCAGTTGACTGATTCACATTTTATTGCATGATCGCCTCGCTGAATCATTGATCCTCCCGGGTAGAAACTAATTTGTCTTATTACTTAAAAATGTGTCTAGTAGGATGATCCACTCTGTATATAAATTTTCCATGATATACTAGGTAAAAAAAGCCAGTGTAGGTATTCATGATTAAGAGGCGCCTACCGGTAGGCCCGTTTGTTCCATTGATTGTGTGCCTACCGTAAATGTATATCGCTAAAACATTATGGTAGGTCCCCAATTGCCACATGATAAAACGCCTTAAAAAGAATCCTGAGCCTACCGGTAGCATTTTTCCGTTTCCTATACAGCTAGCACGATTGATCGCTCTCACCTGTTAGGAAACGGAAGGCTACATAATGTGCTCCGTTTCCTAGCAGGTATGCGCTGACGCAGATCCCGCGTTCTAATAATAATTATTATTGGTTTGACGCCATTGATTTGAACTTGTTCAATGTATTTCACTGTGTTGGCAAATATATTCTTTTCCATATTCTAACTGCTTTAATTTATTGTAGGTTCTTCCTACTATCCAGTCCGTGGACGTTTATTTCGAAAATGTTTTGATCCACCCCGTACAAATATCATCCAATGTCTCGTCATCATTTCGAATTAAAGCAGGTTCTGACAGTCATATATTTATTTATATTTATATTTATTTATTTACGGGCAAGACCCATTAAAAGTTTCAAAAGAAAAAAAACAAGAAACATTAAGTACCTTACAACTAAGTCAACATAGGCCAGTAATACTTGGCGTAGTAACAGGATAAAAATACATATAAAATTATTAACAGTAAAACATTAAATCAGTTATAGGTATAAGAAAATAGAGGACAAACATAAATAATGACTGATCAAGATGACTAGAAATTCTTAGCTATTAAACTTGGTATCACAAACAAATGAGGAGAATTACATTAGAGAGTTAAGCTCTCTTTTAAAGCTATTTATGGGTCCAAAAAAATCCAGGCTACCATGGGTGTTACATAATCGAGAAGTTCTGGAGATGAATGTATTGAAACCATAGTTTGTACGGTGATTTCTTTCTGATAAGGTTATGGCAGAGCGGGTGTCCCTTGCTGGGACGTGAAGCCCTATTCTGGACAGTAGGTTTGCGCTGCACTAGCTCTAGGGCTCTGATATGATTAGAATACATCGGTGACCAGACAGAGGAGCAGTACTCCATCAGGGGCCTCACCATTGAGCAATAAAGGTATCTGATAGAATCTATGCTTGTAAAATCTCTCGAACACCTCTTAATGAAGCCTACAATTTTTACCGACCTTTTTGTGATGTCTGAAATATGGGTGATAAAATTGAGACTGCTGTTAAAAATGACACCAAGATCTCGTTGTTGTGAGACAGTTTCAAGCGGAATGTTGTTTATATGGTAGGCGAATTGTGGAGGGCTACGACCCTTGGAGAAAACAATGGCTTTGCATTTGGAAGCATTGAGCTCCATGCCGCTCAAAACGCACCACTCGGAGAGTCTGTCGAGGTCAGATTGTAGTCTGGCACAGTCTTCAATAGAAGAGACCCGAGTGAACACCTTTAAATCATCCGCAAAGCACAGGAACTCACTGTTAATGAAACAAGACTTGATATCGTTAATAAAAACGTTGAAAAGCAGAGGTCCCAAGTGAGAACCCTGTGGAACGCCCGATGGGATGTCAATTTCGTGTGAGAAGAAGTTGTTAACTTTGATTATTTGAGTTCTCTCCCCAAGATAGTCGCTAATCCACTTCAACAAAGTACCGGAGATTCCAGCACTTTCAAGCTTAGCAAGCAGAACGGCATGGTTGACACGGTCAAAGGCCTTTGCAAAATCGGTATATATGGAGTGAACTGATCCGCCATCCTCAAGAATTCTTGAAACTTTGTCCTGGTAGGGCAGGAGATTGGTTTCAGTTGAGCATTTTGGACGGAAACCGATCTGCTGCTCAATTAGACAGGGATTGATTTTTGGAGTTAAAAACTTTGTCACTATGCTCTCAAATACCTTTGGGAAGGTGTTTTGGATGCTAATGGGCCTGTATTTTGAAATATCCATTTTATCGCCCGATTTATGAATGGGTCACTTCTGAGTTATTTGTTTTATTGGATATTACTTTATAATTTACACCAACTTTGTCTAACGCATTTTTTATCTGTTCAAGATTCATTTTTATCACCTTTTTAAATATAGCACAAATCAAATACCTACTACCTTCTAGTGTTCACTGACTACGCATTATATAGACAAAAACAAATAAAACAATGCCGTCAAAGTAGCTCTAAATATAGTACAGAAAAACGCATTTTTCCTACAACCAATCACAACACAAGAACAGTGACGGCACAGGGAGTCGTGCATGGAGACTGCAGAGACTCGCGCATACCTGATAGGTAATGGAGTGCTAAATGTAGCATTCCGTTTCCTAGCAGGTGAGAGCGATCAATCGCGCTAGCTGTATAGGAAACGGAAAAATGCCTACCAGTAGGGTAGGCTCATAATAATTTAAGAATCCGTCGCCTACCTATTGTGCATATTGTCCGTCGTTTTTAATTTTTTAAGACACTTTCCGTATGAGGAGC